TCCCATCCAGGCCTCAGCCTCTGCAGCATCTGTGTAAAACTGCTGCGCACGGTTAGCCTCTTCTAGCCTCAAGTTCCTCTTCTCTGTCTCAGAAATCAAAAGGGCCCACAATTCCCTCAGCTCCGCCAGACGCCCATCAAGATCAGCTCTCCTCTCCCTGTCCATCTCTGACTCCTTCTCAGGGGACATGTTCGTACCATGAGCCTGGATGTCATCGATACGGGGCTGATGACCCTGAATCTCTTTCTGCAGAGTCTGGGGGAGATGAAAAATCAGTCAGACAGTGAAAAAGAATGTGGAAAATTTATTGAGATGATAAAAAGTAAACACTTTTTTTATAACTTTCAAAACATTGATTGAGCGACTGATTACCTGATTCTTTTTGATGAGCAGCTGGACACTGGGAAGATCTTTACCATGGTCTGTGGACGTGGCGAGAGGCATCCTCTCCTTTACCCATAACTTTAGACAAAAACATAATTACTCTAAAAACTTTAAGCATTTTTCCAAATGAATATTGCTCATATGTATGAATATATTAAAAATTGCTAGTAAATTTCACAAATATTACAAAGAAATATCAATTAACACATTAAATTAAATTAAATTTTAAAGTAGAAAGACTGAGAAAGCATTTTCTTTGTAACATGTACCCAATCTTTTATAACTTTGAAAAATCTTTTTTTTTTAATATTATTATACAGTGTAACAGTTTTTAATGTGACTCACAATTTCATCCTCAAGGTCTCTGTTGAACTGATGAGCCTCTTTTGAAGCAAGAAGACGCTGCCTCCGCTGTCTTAGAGGGTCCTGCAGTTTAGAGAAGCTGTCTGTCACCCTTCTCTGCTGCCCATCCACCTCCACTATCCCAGAATCATCTTGGGCCAAGGCCAGAGCCTGTGACTGCAGAGACTGGACCTCTTTCTCACGCACCTCCATCTGATGCTCCAGCATCTGAGACACGCACAGGTACAGGGTCACATAGGTGGTCATTAGGTTTAAAACTTGTCTGCTTACACAGAATAAAACATATTTCACATTTTTTCCTGGGACTTTCACAATAAAGTGATCTGTGAATATCTCGAGTAGCGATCTTTCTATTTGGCTTTGGATTTACCTGGTGTTTCTTGAGCAAGATGTTGACACTGGTGAGATCTTTTCCAAAGTCATCGCTTTGGAGTTGAGAGGAGATGTTCTGGAGCCAGGAGTCCAGAGCTGAGCAGCTCTGCGTGAAAAGTTCAGTTCGGTTAGCATCAAACAGACACTGAGCTTTGGCTCGAGTGGTGCTCTCAAGCTCCTCCCACTGCTTCTGCAGGCTGCTCATAGTCTCTGATACCGTCTGCTCCAGCTCAGGCTTCTCCTTTACTAACACCTGACCCTCCTACGAGAACAAGAAAAAGAGAGAAAGTCACTGTAGTAGTTTTGATTTATGCTGTTCTGCTTACGAGTTCACATGCCTTGTTTTTTGTTTATTTAGTATGGCACTGATTAAGCTATGAATCTTAGATATTTACACATATTCCAGGAATCCCACAATTTTTGACCACAGAATTTCCATGGCCTTTCCAGACTTTCCACAAAAAGAGAAATTTCTAGCAAATTAAATATATTAGAGCTGAGCATTTCAATTATAAATCACCATTTCAAAACCTGTATTGGCATTCAGAGGTACATCAGATATCCAAAATCACTGGAAGAGATGTGCGTGGGAATATACCTTGTCAATCTTGTCCAGCCAGTCTTTATTGGAAGCTAGCTCAGCCATGAAGGCCTGGTGCTTCTGCCACTTGCTGTGGAGGTTTCTAGCCTCATCATAGGACATGTCCTGAGCCGTCAACATTTTCTCATTTATCCACAAAGTCAGCTAAAGAGACGGGCAAGGAAAAGAAGACTTATTAATCACACAAAAGCCTGAATGTATCATCACTGGCTTCATCCTGTAGATGGTGCTGTGGTTTACTGGAGTCATTTATATGAGAGTGTATTATCTTTCATAATGCCAGTCAGAAGGACTTTGTCTCATAGTGCAGTCAGTATAATGGATATATGTAGTCTTGTTTGCTCTGTACTTTATTACCTCTTGTCCATCCTGTAGGAAGTGCTGCAGCTCTCTGTTGTCCTTCAGTTTGGCCAGCAGTTCATTGGCAGCTTGTTTGTTCTTTTGGTGCCTAAAGGAAACCAAAAGAGAACATGAGATGAAAAACATGATGTTATCTGTAATGGATTTAATGGGTTTGCTGCCAGCACATCATCAATGTAGATCATTGCCAGGATAGTGATGAATACTGCACATTTCCAATATAGCGCAGCTTCTTACTTGGCATTTTGAAATTACTGAGTAGTAGTATATTCACTACCGTTCAGAAGTTTGTGGTTGGTAAGATTGTTTTTTAAATTGTTTATAAAAGAAGTCTCTTATGCTCAACCAAGGCTGCATTTATTCACAAATACAGCAAAAACAGTAATATTGTGAAATATTATTACAATTAAAAAAATTATTTTCTAACTTCATATATTTTAAAATGTAATTTATTACTATGATAGCAAGGTGATTTTTCAGCCATTACTCCAGTCTTGTGTCACATGATCCTTATCATGAAAATCATCAGTAATCATAATATGCTGATTCGGTGCCCGAGAAAGATTTCTTCTTATCAATGTTGAAAACAGTTGTCCTGATTGATATTTTTGTAGAAAATATCTACAAAAAAAAGTTTCTTTTTAAAAGAATCTTACTGATACAAAAATTTATTTAAATATATATATATATATCCATTTTCTGTCAAAATTACTAAAAAAAAAAAAATAAAAAAAAACTTCTACTTCTCCCACCTCTACTTCTAAGCATGCCGTTCTGTTCCTGCTTACCTCTCCTGAATGGAGTCTGTCTTCTCTTGGATCTTGTCCTCATAGGTGTTGCCATCTGAAATTAGTCTCCGTACCACGCCGTCCACGCCGTTGATCTTTTCTTCATTGGCATCCATGGTGGTGAGGAAGTCTTCATGTTTCTCCACTGCCCCCACTGCCCCTTGTAGGCTGGAGGGCATCTCTGTGTGTGACAGAACATACTCCTGTAGGCAAAGAGAAAGGAAACTGTTATGGTTTTTTGACAGCCGATGCCGATATCTTGGAAAGCAGGGTGGCCGATGGCCGATATAAAGCCGATATAATTTTATTTATTTTAATTTATATTTAAGAAATTTTAAATCATTTGAAAATGGATTTAAAATAATTGTGTAAAATAAACATACTTATACTTTAGAAGACAAAGCATTTTTCACAAATAAATTAATATTTATTAAAAATCTAATTAAAAAGGAAGTAAACATGGTAACCAACAGGGCACTCAGTATTCTGGGAAGTTTGTCTGAATCATTATTTTTTATTTTTTCAAATAAAGCCAAGGTAACACTCATTTTACATACAGCACGCAATGAAAATGACATGAATATGACAGTGGGCAACTGCATAAAGCACAGCATAATTTGAAATCACTAGTTTAAAGTTTGTCGATTGCGCGTCTCCAATGAAGCTGAACTCTCCTCCTGTCAGCATTCAATTCACACTGATCGACCGTCACGCAGAGCATATGCGATCGTGCAGGATACAAATGCACACTTCACAAGATCTCAACTAGATTCGACTAAGTCTGCAAGGTTTGTGAAATTAAATGTTCATTAGTCATTCAAAGATTTGTTTAAATGATATAAATGCGTGTTTGCTGAATGCTGACGGCAAATGAGAAAGTATTATAATGTTTGCCTTTCTATTACTAATAATATTAAAGCAATCGTTATAATACTTTTTTGTATACATTTTAATTCATTTGTTTAACAGTTGTATCTGATTATTAGATAGACTTATACCCATATTAGACATGACTGAACGACGACAGCGAACAAGAGGGAGAATGTGAGCGGTGTGCGCTCAGGCACTGCGGCTGCCGTTCTCAGCGCCATCAAAATAAAAGTCAGCCGCGCCGTCAAAATAAAAGTCCCGCCTCGAACACATCGGATTGGAAAATGCCAAATATCGGCCTTGGCGATATATCGGTCGACCACTAGTTATGATAAGGTTTTAATTTCCTGACAACATCCAGTTCTACCTGGTACTATTCACTGCTGCAGGCTTTCTGACTGAATAGCTCAAACCCTCACAAAACTTCACTGTGCTGCTATGCAGGTGTTCACACATTTGATTGGTGTTGCTATGCTGCTTCGCTCCACGGCTACATTGACACCTCATTGGTGCTCTTATATTGTGCACATTGAGAACACAAGGGGAAAACAGGTGGGAGCCAAATGAAGCATGACAGACCACAGTAACACAGACCATCCCATATTTATATGTATAGATGTATAGTTACATAGATATAAAGAGTTGAAATATTAATACATCAAACAGAGTACATTTCATACAAAATACTCTAAACTAACTAAACTAAAGGGGATACATCAACAAGATGAATGAAATGAATCTGAGAATTTACTCAAAGACCAATACTGAAATCCTCAGGAATGAAATTTAAAAACCTCAATCTAGAGCACAACAACAAAAACAGCTGTCACCTAAATGAGGACATGGCCGTAGAGACACTTTAAACCGCGTCGCCCTGTCTTCTGCATTTAGCTGCGTCACACACATATTAATTCAGCACCAAACGTTACCGTCGCAATGGAGCCGGGGTTCATTCATCAAAGCACTGGGCTGTCTCAGTAATGGGATATTTAAATATAGCATGTACACAGACCATGACATGCTACAGGAGAACAAAATGTGCGAGTATGAGAGAGATTGAGAGAGAAAAATCAGGGAGATGATTTGTTGGCGTGTGCAGATCCGGAATTTAAAACACTGAAGTCAGCATCCATCCCCCGCCCCCAACTCATCAGCAGCAGTATGGGTCGACTCTGTGCTGCAATTTGCCACCTCCCCCTTCCCCACCATCCGATGATCATTCATCTCCCTCCCTTGGTCCCTCCTTTCTCTCTCGACCTCCTCTCACAGACATCCCTGATGCAAGTGCTGTAAGCAGGCAGCCAGCAGCAGCGGAGGCTATCCAGGGGTGCAAACGCTCCGGATAACCATGCCTGGCAGAACGGAAAGGCAGGGAAATGGCTAAGAGAGGCTCTAAACCAAAGTAACTCTCAGCTGTAAATGAGAGGAAAAGGAGGGGGGTGGGTAGAAGAAGGGGAGCGAGAGCAAGAGCAAACACGGACAGAAGAGAAGACAGTGAAGACAAAACGTGGACCCTGCTGTCACACAAGACTGGGAAAACATATAAAACACAAAGCAACCTAAATTACCTTCTGCTGCTCTAGAAAAAGGGGGAACAGGAAGAGAGGTCAGAACGGACAACAACATGTTCACAAAGTAATGGAAAGGTAAGTAATACATGGCATTCAGACAAGAATAAGGAGCGTTTAACTCACACAAATAGGTTTATTAAATATGCTCAATCATAAAATCCAGAGAGATGTTAGATCACAGCGAGTCTGCAGTAGAGCGTTTTTACTCTTTTTTTTTTTTTATTATAAAAACAGGGACACCTCAATCAGAGCAGAAGATACTTTCCCCTATATACATTTCTGGCATGTGCACACACACTTTTTCCTAAGGCAAACATTAGGTTTTAGACTGTTCCTGCAAACACTGAACTTCAGATTGCTCTAATGGACTTACTAATGGATTTACTGAGGTAATACTAATGATTTGGCTTTAATATCATATTTAATATTTCCTGCATACTGACGTGGCAACCCAGCACACATGTAACTTTCTAGAACTGAGTGTGATATGATGTGCACAAGCACAAAGGTACTGTGCAAAGCTGTCCCCAACTGCCCCACAAATGAGGGGGTGGGGGTTCAGGATGTAGCCACTGTTACCAAGGCTAAATGCTAACATCTCACTGCTGCAGCATGGCAGGGTAGCTCCTGGCAGAGGCTCAAACTATTAGCACAGAGCCACTGAGAGAGAGAACTGAGCGGCTCAGTATGGGTGGTAACAGTGAGACCTGTTGTTAATCGTGCAATGGAGAGACAATGCTCAATAAATGAAAATGTCCTTATGTCATGCTGTCCGTACCTTGGGTGAATCAGGAGTGTGGGAAGAATCCCCAAAATAAAGGGAGACATTAAGGCATGAGTTTTTGAAATGGCTGCTTATTTCCCCAAAAATAAGGTGTAATGGGTATGTCCTCCAAAAGTGGGGGGTGGGGGATAAGGGTAGTCTTACTCCTAAAGAGTTCAAATGATTGCTACATCTCTCTGAGAACCTTTAAAAGACCTGGCTATAAAGATGATGATAAGGTTGACAGAAACATAAGAACAATACTTAGGGTACACTAATACTTAGTAAGATACACTGCAAAATGGTAAATGATAATCATGTTTAAGATTTGTAAAAATTCCCTGGAAGATGAACTGACTTGTTTTATACAGTCATTAGTAGAAGAGCAGAGTCCCAATGCCTACTGGGAGTCTACCCTTCTACTAATCTCCATGATAAAGCTTTGGTGTATCTAAATAGCTCGGATGCTAAAAAATTTTCCTTGGATAAAAGCAAAACCTAAAGAACAAGTTTATGACTAGTTTTCCTTTTTACAGGGAAGCCCACACCACACCTGCCTCCATGCCGACTAACCTGTTGCTCCTTCTTCTGTTCGGGGTGCGTGTGCTGGCCATTTGCCCGCCAATGTGCACCTGTAGCAGAGGCCATAGAGTGGTGGACTGCTCTGCACGAGAGTTAGCTATACTTCCTGACAGCCTGCAGCACAACATTCATTTCCTCAACTTGTCGCATAACCGACTCCAAGATCTCGATGGACTCCTCAACCATTTTGACCACTTAAGAACTCTGGACATCTCCTATAACCATCTGCACCACCTTCCTGTTGGTCTGCCAAGAGCGCTTTGGGATATACGTGCCTCTGGAAACTACATCCGTCAATTGGAGAAGAACAATACGGCCTACCACTGGAACCTTCAGAAACTGGACTTGTCACTCAACTTGCTGGAACGTGTGGTCTTCATTAACAATACGTTGTCCAATCTCCAAGCTCTCAACCTTAGTCATAACAAATTCTGGACTGTCCCAACGAACATGCCCCACAATTTGGAGATGGTGGACCTCTCTCACAACTACTTGCTGCAGATCTTGCCTGGCTCACTGGATCGTCTTCCCAAACTGTCGACATTCTACCTGCATGCTAATCATTTTACCTCGTTGAGCGATGGTGTCTTCAGTCGACTGGATGGACTGCAGCTCCTCACACTTGGAGACAACCCTTGGGCTTGTGAGGACGAGGAGAATATAAACCATCTGTTGACTTGGATGCAACAGACCCCTGCAAAAATCTTGGGCTGTCCCTGCTACACCAGGCCCACATGTGGAGAAGCTCACCTGGCCACTAGGAGAACCTGGCATTCAGCCGCATTCACAGAGCCGCCTCTGGGTGCTGACGCTCGTCATCCTGGCCACCGAGCACCAATGCAGGCAGTTACATCTGGGTACCTGTCCAAGTCAGCCCAGTTGAATGTGGGTCAATATCCAAGCGCTGTTATGGGTGGGGGATTTCTCACGTCAACTCCACATAGCCTGTCCACACAGTTAAGCACAACAATCCGAACACGCAGCACCAAGAAGGTCCTTCCAGGCAGAGCTCACAGCACAAGCCATCAAATCCACATATGCAGCTTTGAAACCACCATTTTGAGCCTTTTATGTCCAGTTCTCATCCTCAGTGCTTGGTGATTCTGCATAACAATCTCTTGAACTAGACCTGCTGCCTTGAGCCTGAAAACAAAAAATCCACAAAGAATGCAAAACGAGAGACTTACCTCTTAGGTTTCCATTTTCACATTGTTCTGGCTACCTAACCTAATTTTTCAACATATGCAATCTCTGCCTGCTTCCAAATAAACTTACCATCTTCTACATAATGTAACTGAGTACTGTATGGCTACACATATCAACATCTAGACACGTATACAAATACACCACAATTAGCAGTTTCTTAATGTGGAAAATTGAATGTTCTTTCCAGTGTTATGCTTGAGCATTGACAGAGATTTGTGCATTTCATTGTTTATATTATGTATTAAACTAAACACTTACAGTGTAAAGCTGATGTGTTCTATGAGTACAGACATGACTTTAACTGTTGAAATAAGAATACAATTGGAAAACCCATGGTGTTTTACTACAACTACATAAAATAAAGTCAACAGGCCATGCAGCGAGACTGGAAAATGCCAAATACTTAAAAACAGCAAAGCAGAGCTGATAGTCTCTGAAAACAAATATAAATATATATATATATATATATATATATATCGGGGCTGTACAGTGCGACATATATGTCGCACATGCTACGAAAAAACTAGTCTGTGCGATGAATAAATTTACCACTGTAGCACGCGTGCGATACAGTTTTGCATGTTCATAGCACAGCTGCTTAATAGTGTGAAGTGATTTCGTTCTGCTTGTTTGTGTGTGTGAAATTGATTATACTTGGTAGTTGGGGGTGTGCGATATGACGATTTTTGATCGTGGATGATTAAAATGTCTCCACGATCTGCTTTTGACAAAATAACGTTGTATCGTGCTACAGCGCATATACTATCAGCTGCAGTTCTGGCGCCTCCCTCCGTCTCAATATAATCTACAACGCCACATGCATTCACATCAGTGTTAATGTTACTTTCACTGTTCATTGTTTTGCTCTATGGTACATCATCTTTCATTTAATAGTAGAGCTGGGTAATTGAATCAGATTGGTTTAAAAACACAAGTTCATTCATAAACGAAACACCACTGTGTTTGCTTGGAGATGCGCAGCGGCTCAGCTGTGACTTTTTTTGAAACTATTTTCGTTGACGAAATAGAGCAAAATCAGGTAATAGTGTTGAAGTCAGACAATATAAGTCACTTAATATGAATTTCTTGTTTATTGAACTGTTGTATTAAATCAATATCACATTTACAAACTCCCTTAATAATCATTAAAAGCTGTCGATCATCTCACAAAGTTCCATTATAATCTATCAGA